CTATTCCCTCTGCTCCTGTACTGTCCCCCAGCCAGTGCCAGGGCGTGAACTCCAAGAGCCCGACCTCATTCCCTGAGATATCGAGGCCCAGGGATTTAGAATCAGGAGAGATCCTCTGTGACAAAGGCTCCTATCCACACATCTCCCTCAGGAAAAGGTTAGGAGAAAACAGTTAATCAGGGATACGCTTTGGAAGAAATACCCAAAATTGAGAGGCATGTCAGAAGTAGTCCCTAGGCCAGGCGTCAGAATTCACGAAACTTTAGGTGTGGCCCTCTCAGACCTCTTCTCAGTGAAGTTGTCTTGGTTGTACGCCTCACTGTTGGGGCAAAATATCTGTGACCAACAAATTAAGGGAGGAAAGGTTTATTTCGGCTCCCATTTCAGTCCATGGCCAGCTGGCCCCAAGCAGAGAGGCATGACAGAGGGACAGCTGCTCACATCCTGGCAGCAGGAAAGCACAGAGGTCAAGGGAGGAGTCAGGAAGGGAGAGGAACACTTCTGGGTCATGCCCTCTCCAGCCAGGCCCCACTTCCTCCGTACAAGTCTGAGTCCGCATTGCTCCTCTGTAACACTTCCTGCATGGTACAAGGTTGAGTAAGTGACAGGTGGGACTGCCCAGAGCAGAGCTGGGTGCCACTAGGAAATGTGTGGCAGAGAGAAAAGAAATGGGTGCCATCTGCTCCTCTCGCCTTACGCAGCACCCTCATAACCACCGCACTTCTCCACCAGGAAATACAGGAGCAAGCAGGGCGCACAATGGAGAGAAATCCTGTGGAGAGAAGGCCTGCTCAGGGCCACCCAGGCTGGGAGCGTTAAAGGGACCCAAACCCACACAGAAAATGCATGGCATCCCTTCAGGCAGAGCACTGGCCTGGACCAATTTTAGAGACCAACACACCTTGGCAGGCAGGACTGAGCCCCCTCCAGGAGCAAGAGAGCCCCTCACTGGGAAAGGACCAGGAGGCGTGCATGTGTATCCCCATCATTACAACCACAGGCCCATGGTCCTGCCAGGCACCCAGCCAGGAAGGAGCTTCCGCCTGTGTCCATCGAAATGGGCACTGTGGGGCAACACCTGTGCCCAACATCAGGGCCGGGATCCGCCTGCTGCTGGCACAATTACCTGAAGGCCAGCCCTCAGAGAAGAGGGAGGGAGATAAGAAGGGGGCTCTGCTCTGTTCCCCAAGCAAAGGGCAGTGTTGTCCTGAGCACACAGAGGCCTCTTCAGCTCCCTGATCCGAGGAGGGAGGAGGACAATCTGTACAATTGGATGAATGAGACTCCTCCTCCTGCATGGTCTGGCCCCCTCCCCTGCCATCCTGAAGGAGGCACCACTGATTACTAATCCTCCTCTTTAATAATTTGCTTGGGAGCAGGGCCAGCACATTGCTGCAGGATCAGGGGCCAGTCCGGAGCCAAGCTCCCTGCGGTCACCCCGTCTGCAGCTGCAGGCACATTTTTCAGACTCCACCACATTCAGAGCTCCAGCAGCCCAGGCTGGTCTTGAGGGAGAAGCCTGTGTAGCCCATGTCTGACGTTCATGACACCGAGCATGTTGGGGTCAGCAGACAAACTCTGATGGCCCTGTGGGAAGCAGCTGGAGCCTTCCAGAACTTGCCTACTCGCCTATCTGCCCAGCCTCTGCTCTTTCCTGGGCTTAGCAGAAGACAAAAGGCCTCAGTCCTCCAACTTCCTGCCCAAGTGGGCATGAATGGCCACTGTGTGTCCCCGGCAGGGCCCTTGGGTGAGAGTTCACACAGTCACCTTTGTTACAAAGACAGCCCGCAGCAGGGTGCTGCTGTCCCAGGGGCACATTTAACTTCAAATCAAAGTCACAGAAGCTGTAAGTGACCTCTTCCCTGGGAAACAATTAGAGTGTAAGTGGGATAAGCCTTGTCTCTCTGTACCAGAAAAGCCTTGTAAATGTCTTCAGACGATAGTGACAGACATCCGCTCTCAGCCACCAAGCCCTACACACCTTGCTATTCACCTAAACAGTCTGGGGCTCCACTTCCCCAGTCACAGCCAGAAGTCCAGCTACAGAGTCTGTTTTGGGAACCAGCGACTGTGACATCCTGAGTTCTGGAAGTCACTGCTCTCTGCTCCACTGGAGAAGTTCATGCAGGGCCTGAAACACCAAATCCTTGGAGAGCCACAGTGACAGTGTGCATGGAACACTCCCCAGGGCCTAAGACAACAGGAAGGGCGGGAAAGACAGAGGAGGGCTCAACTCTCACCTCCCAGCTCCTCCTGTCAAACAGTGTCAGGTTGGCTCAGCACAGAGCGCAGGGCTCTTTCCACAAGAAGTCACCTGCTAGGGTGCCGATAAATTCACAGCCCATCTTTCCTAACCACCCCAATGCCCCTCTTTGAGTTGAGCCCCAAGAAGAAGACCGAAACGTAGTGCATAATCTCCAAAGACAAGGCAAGTACCAGGCACGCAGCACAGAGAAGCAGCAGGGTGCTGGAGAGAGGGTGTCCTGCAAAGCCAGTCCACCTGGGTGGGATCCAATTCTACCACCCACTGGCTGGAGTTGGGACACATTATTTATGGTCCCATTTTTCATTTACAAAACAAAGGCAGCAATAAGATCAATCTCATAAGAATTTTGAGTGTTCAATGAGCCAAAGTACATAAAGTGTTAACTTATATGTCAGCTATTATTAGAAGAAAAAATATCAAATATAAGGACCAAAAAACTTAATGTGTCCAACATGACCTTAGACCAAACAGCTAGGCAGTAACAAGGATCTCTTTCATTTTCCTTAAAAGCACCCAGGATACTCAATCACAGTCCCAACTAGGGCTCCTCCTTTCTAGGGCTGCAAAATACATATAACCTGTGTCACTGGGAAAGTGTTTCTGTCATTCGCCCCATCCCTGGGGCACAGTACCTGACAGCTGCAATTCAAAGGGCATGAGGTTTATGTTGCATGTGGTTGCAGTTGATGATCAGCAGGCTCCAGGCAGAAACAGCATATTGGGGGGCAGAGTGGAGGAACTCTGCTCACATCATGCTGGCCAGGAAGCAGAGAGTGAAGCAAGGAGGCAGAAAGAGAACGCAGAGAGGCAGAGAGAGAGAGAGAGAGAGAGACAGACAGACAGACAGACAGGCAGAGAAAGAGAGAACTTTCCAGGCCACATCTCCAGGCACCGTTTCCAACCGGGACCCACCTTCTAACAGTTATGAATTCAACTCTGTATTCATCCGTGGATTCACGCAGTCCTGGACAGGCTGCCGACAATTTTCCCTGGGCCACTTTGAGTGTGAGTTCTCTGAGGAATGTGTGTCTGCCTGGAGATAATTCACAGGTATTTATGTAAACGAGTTCCAAGCTTGACCACTGGGGCTATATCAGCATTTTTGTAAGCGTCAGTATTAGAACAGCAATTAAACTCAAAGAGCAGATGTGAGCCCACCCCAGGGTCCTTCTACAGTGCCCCACACACAGGGCACTGCTTCTCCTGTATTGTGCATGTGGTTATGTGGATATAGTATTTTGCATATAGAATTAATTCATTGCTACAATTGTCCACCCACTACACACACAGACACACACACACAGACACACACACAGATACACACACACACACACACACACACACACACACACACACACACGTGCATGCGTGAGCCCAGACTGCACAGTGGAATTCCGAATGAGAAAACACATGATTGTTACCTGCCCTTTACACCAGTGTCCCTGTCCCCTCACTATGGGGCTGGAGCTCTGCAGGGTTGGAGACAGGGGCACCCCACACCCACACTTCCTTCCAGTCCTGGTGCTCTCCGGGAGAACTGTGGAAGATGTGAAGCCATCCCTCACATGCATGGTCATGCTTCGCCTCTGCTCACTGCTCTGTGGTCAGGATTTATGTGTGGCCAGCACGGGCAGGGCTTATTACGACAGGAAAATGTTCACATCACACATAAATAACAAGGATCGCTTGGAACTGTGGTCCATGTGTTTGGCAAGATATGACAGAACTTAGTCCTGTATCTAAAATCACAGTACATAATGGCAGAATCAAACAGTCTTCTCCTAGGAGAATACAATTACTGTATCTCTAACAAATGTGAGAGTCACGCTTGAGAGAGTGAGATGAAAAGCTGCCTGCTGTGACTAAAACACATTTCCTTACACAAACACATGACTTCACAGACGTGTCACATCACATAAGTTTTAGAATGATTAAAATGACTTCTTCAAAATTTTTCAAGATTTTATAAAATATTTCTATTCACTAAGTAATGAATAACAAACAAGTTACACCATTAACTTCATTTTTAAAAGCAATATTGCCCTTTTTTGTTTAAAATGAGCACATTAGCCAGGCATGGTGGTGCATACCCTTAATTCCAGTACTTTTGAGGCTGAGGCAGGAGAATCACTGTGAGCTTCAGGCCAGCTTGGGTTTTATAGTGAGCTCAAGGCCAGCCTGAACTACAAAAGGAGATGCTTTCCTAACAACCCTCAAAATTTTAAAATTACATAAACACATTAAAACAGAAGACGACTGAGACTTTGTATACTGCTTGATATTAAAAGAATGCAAAGCTCTCCAACCTGCATTGAAAATTGTTTTAGTTTTAGTTTTCTAATATTTTAGTACTCTATTTCTTAGTTACTTTTCTCATTGCTAAGAGAAAATGCCCACAAGTTAAGGGAGGAAGGGTTATTTGGCTCACTGTCTGTAGAAGTTTCAGTTCACAATCAGCTGGCTTGGTGGAGGGGCATCACAGAGGAGAACCTTGGTGGACAGGTGGCAGCAAAGCAAGCAAGAGACAAGTCAAGCCTCTTTCTGTCCCTTCTATTTTATCCAGGTTACAGGGATTAGGGTGGTGCCAAACCAATCAATGAACCAATTTGGCAATTACCTTAGTCCTAACATTACACCATGAATCAGTCACATACTCTAGATGCAGGCACCTCTGAGAAAGCCCCACCTATGTCTGTGTGAGGTTTTGGGGGACATCTAGACACAAACCATGACAGAACTTAATCATATCTTTATTGGTAGAAACAAATTATCAATGCTCAATACTGGGTTGTAATCTCTCCAGAATAATCTAGTCTATTTCCTACAATATAATCCACTTCTAGGCAATGTATCTGTGTGTTAATCTTCAACTGAACTTTCAGAAGGTGGTTAGATAGCATTTTAAAACATTGCAGGGATAAAACCAGGAATTTTTCCCAGCACAGTCTCTGTAAGCAGTTGTAAATACAGTGCCCCTCCCCTTACATATGGATTCATTGTCTTAAGTTCCGCTCCACAGTCAACCCTGGTCCAAAAATATTAAGTGAAAAATTCTAGAAACAAATGATTAACGTTTCAAATGGCAAAGTATTCTAAGTGAGGTGATGGTGCCTGGCTTTGTCCCTTCTCTGTCCCTCTCTGTCCCTCTCTGTCTTGCCTGACATATGAATTGTCACACTATTCAGTGTTTCCACTCTGTATACACTACCTGCCCATTAGTCACTTCACCATTGTGGTGGTTAAACCCATACCACAGTGTCATGGGGCTCGTATTCAAGTACAATAAGATATTTAGAGGAGGAGAGAGAGATCATAGTCAGATAACTTTTATTATACTATCTTGTTATAATTGTTCTATTTTATTATTAATTTTTGCTCTTGGCCATGCCAAATTTATACACTAAAACTTATCATATACATAGGGCCCAGTACTTCCCTCGGTTTCTGGCATCTGTGGGGGTCCTGGAACGTACACCTCAGAGAGAAGGGAAGATCACTGCATTGTTCTCCAAACCTGTACCAGAGGGAATAATTAGCATAAAAAAGTTAAACTTTCACTGGTAAGACATACATTATTTAAACATGTTCTAGGTATGTGATCTGATTTAAATTGTACATAATTATCCTGCATTAACCAATTATAGGGTCATCCTTAGTGTGGACCTGCACTTGATAGCACTTTGTTGTTGGTTCAAACCAAAAGGCTTTTTTTTCTCTTCCAGAAATATTGTTCTATCTGCTTTGAAGCAAATTTTCATGTCAATCACCGAGGAGGACAAAGACTTCAGCAAGCTTTACAAGAGTTACAGGCCTGACTCCTTGCTAACAACCAAGACTGCACGGTAGACTTTCATCCGGGATGACTTTCATGGGTACCTAACACCTGGGGCAGGGGTGTGAAGGAGAAGCCCAGCTCCAGTTCACTTCTGACCCACGGAGGCTGCCAGGAATTCCCGAAGATCATCACCACTGCTCATTTGAGTTTGCAAAACTAGCAGGGTACTCAGAAAGAGCTGGCCACTGACAGCCTTCTGCCAAAGAACTACAAGCCTACCTTTGCTGAAGTCTGAATAGCTGTAGAAAAAGTGATACTGAGCAGGAAAGACATAAAACTTCTGAAGTACTTTAGCCCTTTCCATTACAGAAGACAAAAGCTCAACCTTTGACAGAGACAAGCACATGAGGACAAGCCTCACCCTGCCTCAGCATGGACCTATGCTGCGGACAGAGGACAGGCTTGCTGCAACCTCCTTGCGAGGCTGGAGTCCAGTGTAAAGAGCCCGCTCCCAAGCACTGCCGGTTGTCTGCCATGCTGGGTGTATATCCACACACAGATGCAGTTTTTGGTGGGTGAAATAAGTAGAAGAAATACAGAGAGATGAGAGTGTTTGTTGAGTTTCAGTCTATGGCTGAAATTCCATGGCCAGGGCTGAGCCTTTGAAACCATCTTGATTCTCCCACATGCAAAGATAACACATTTATTTAGTAAACATTACTTGAGCACTAGTGACATGACAGGCACTGTAATAGGCACCAGAACCACAGATATGCAAGAGGCAGCGGGCTATCATGATGCATGCCTGTAATCCCAGCACTCTGGGAGGCTGAAACACGGGGATCCCAAGTTCAAGCCTAGTCTGGACAACTTAACCACTTAGCAAGATAAATAAAAGCAATGGGAATGTAGCTCAGTGCAAAGGATCAGGTTCAATTTCCATGATGGCAAATAAGGAAGGAAGAGAGGGAGGGAGGGATCATAATTCCTCCTCTCACTGTCATCAGCCCTGGAGGAATAGCCTGCTCTCAGTAACAATTCCACAGGACTGAAGTTATCTCCTGCTTCCCTGATGCAGGAAGAACCTGGGAGAGTTTCTGCCCAGAGATGGCTAAGGGAAGGAGTTTGTTGTAAGACTTAAAGAGAAATAAAAACACCAGAGACCAACAGAGGTGTCTGCCGAGTAAGAGTTTCAGAGGGTGAGCGTAAAATTAAGCAATGGTCTATGAACCGTAAGACCTGTTAATCGTCTATTTGATTCACTGGCTCCAGTCATGACCTCCTCAGTGAGAGAGAACTCGACATGCTGAAACTTGATCCATGTAGGGTCAGGCTTGGACATCAGCTCAGACTGTCCAACTGTAAAAGCACCAGGAGATCCCAATGGCTTCCACAAGTTTAAAAGTCATAACTCTGAGCTGGGGGTGCAGCTCAGCAATAGAGTGTGTTTCTTGTATGTGCCCTGAGTTTAATTACAGTGCTGCAAAGTATAAAATAAAATCCTTGACTCTGGACATTGTACTCTGCACACAGAAGAGTGTCTGCTAGAAATACATGAGGCCAAAACACTCCCAGCACAACTATTCTGGGGAAGAATAATTAAGTCATATATGTATATGAATCCACAGTAGACAAAGCAGCCACAAGATTAGAAAGCAAGAAATTAAAGTTCCTTTTAGAAAACAGCAGTACAGCTGAGGCATTCCAAAGCTTGGTGAGCCACTAAATTCACCTAGATTGAAATCTGGGCAAGAATGTGAACAGCTGTTTATAGACTACTGAGAAAGAGCAGCTGTGGAATTGTCCTGCCTGTTATTCTGGGGCTGAGCACTCATGACTCTTCTCTGATCACATAGTAAAAAGCTCTGAAAATGGAATCAGAAGAAAGCGGGTTGTCAGGACACACACATGGGGTTACTGTCTCATCTTCAGACTCAGCCTGATTTTTACTTTTGCATCTTTCAGTAAAAATATCTGTAATTGTTGATAATCCCTAACAGCCTGCCCCAAGAATGTGGATTTTGTATGCACAAAAGGAGGGAAGGAGAAAGAGAAGGAAGAAGGGAAAAGAGAAGCAAATGAGAGGCCAGATGAGAAATGTTATGGGAAAATTTCCAAGCTAAGCCAAACCAAACCAAACCAAGCCAAAAGGAAGACTCTTTGCACCGAGGAGATAAGAAGGCAACATTTAATCCTTACGGCAGCAGACTATTGGATCTTCAAGCCAGTGCACTGGTGCAGGATAATTCCTCAAGAGTAACAGCACTGAATTTAGGAAAAGCTTAGTTTATATAAAATTTAGAAGTCGGAGCTACAAAGCACGTGACTAAACATTATGTAATTGGTTACAAACAGTGAGTCACATATTGATAGGCAGGCTGTTCTTGAAACACAGGAATTGTTTGTCATAATATAGAAATACTCTGGGAACAAGGGGAGGGGGCCCTTACAGAGTGAGCTTAGTTAAATGTATTACCATAAGAGAGTGGGCCCTTGAATTAGCCCCGGGTGTCTTCAAGTATAGACTCAGTGCTCATCAGAGGTGTGCAGCTGTGCTGTAGACAGCATCAAGGTCAACTAAATTCAGCAGAACAGAAACTTGGTCCAAGACCTCTGTTGTAGTTAGGGATTGTGCAGAGAATAGTTAGAAACAGGACACAATTTATACTATTATTTTATGATGGTCACCCAGAGTTTAACACAAGAAAGTGCAGGAAATCTGTCCACAACACTCAGAATATTCAGCCAAAGATCCGGATCACACTGCAATGTCCTGCATGAGTCCAGATGAAAACCTAGAGCCCATGACAACGCCTCCCACGAATCCAATTGGAGGTCTAGAGCCCACGAGAAGGACTCAGGCCAGTCTGTTTTATAGATCCACACTGGGAAGGCCCAAAGGTCAGCGGTAAAGCTAAAAGTCTATGCCAGCGGGATGAAGGAGCTGTGCTGGTGGGTTGAGGGTTCTACACTGGAGCCGAGAAGTCACGCTCAAAATAAAGACCAGGGATGTCCTGAGAAGGAACAGCCATCCTCAGCAACATGGAGGTCCCAAGCTCCTCCAACAATAAGAACAGTCAAGTACCTGTCAGAAAGCCAGTGTGACGAGTTTCTCCTGGAGATCAAACAGCACACATCACCCCCTCCAGACTCAGGAAGTGATGTTCAATGTAAGGACCAGAGCTCCCCCAAAGTGAACCACAGCCACTCTTACCAACAAGGTCCTGAGCTCCTCTGATGACAATGGTTGAAATCACACTGGGGAAGCCAGCATGATGAGCTCCTTTAGGAGAACCAATGGCTCAAAACAGCAACACTAGAGAAACCCACAATGCCTCACTCCTCTTCTCCACATCTCTATGCTGGCAACTTTCCTCAGGTGGCACATCTACACTCAGCACCATGCTGATTTAATTCAGCTAGTGTTAAGTTGACCACCAGTTTTTAATCCATGACAACCTCTAATTGATCATAAAGTACCTTTAAGTTTGCTATCGTATAAATGTGTCCCTACATTGTAACCAATTGTGCTCCAACAGTAACACATTTGGGATTATAAGCAACTATGTGGGCTTCATCATAAAACTACCTACTTAAAAATCAGGGGGTAGAAATCATAAGGGAAATCTGAGCAAATACTAATAAAAGGTAGGTAAGAGGGATTTATTTTAGGATATAAAATGAACTGGGAGTATTTGATGGAAGAAAGGTTCGGAGATCCCAGCTAATTAATTCTGATTTTGATTTTTTGACTTTTATAGTTTCCATACTAAATGTCAAACCGATTTTAAACCGCCCACACTTTTCCTTATTTGGTTTCATCATTTGGCAAGTTTAATCAGTTCTGTAAAGGAAGCACGTAGATACACAATCTTCAGGAGTCAGGAATCCTGAATGAGAAGCGGGCTTCTTCCTGGGAACCCAGCATGAGGGTCTCTCCTGGCCTGGCCTGACCTGGCCTGACCTCCAGGCTCAGGAAAGAGACAGACAGAGACTAGCATTCACCAACCACTCAGCCAAACCTCTCACAGGAAGCAGCACCAACAGCTTCATGTATTTCACACTTTTCCCTAGAACAGGTCTTACCAAACTGTAGTAAGGACACATGGAAAGATTTTTTCTGGGCATTAATTTAAATCCCTTTTGATTCTTATTTTTAGACACCAAGTCCTATGCTTGGCATTGCAGAAGTGTTTCTGGAGAGTGGCCATGTTGCTGATGATTTTTAATGGATGCCAAAGAAAGAAAAAATTATAACTTGGATGGAATAATTCAGGCCAGAGCAGACCGCACCAGGCAGTCTAAATGCAAACCATGTATGTCAAGCACATGTAGCCAAGCTGAAACAATAGTTAGTGCCCCAGGAAGACAATATTGTGATAGTCTCAAGGTTACATCTCATGGTTACAGACGATCACACAAGGCATATTGAAATGATCTGTTTTGGTGCTAGGAAAAATTAGGATATTTGCCTCAAACATTGTACCATAGGTTGAGGGTTATTTCTAGCCCAAAAGACTTTTTCCTGGGCAAATTAAAACAGACCCTTGAGAAAGAGCAGGTGAGGGAGGCCAGGCCTTGTAGTTTAGGCATTGGGCAGAGATGGTGTGAGAGATGGTATCACAAAGGGAAACCCAAAGACCTGGGATCTCACTGTACCTCAGCCACCAGTGAAGTCTGAATCATCATGAGTAGGTTCTCATTGAACTTTTTGTTTCTCATTAAAAAAAATGCAAAGAAAATCGTGTTCTCTCAAGATCGCTAGAGATGAGAATCAGGAGCAGTATTTGTCTTAGTTACTTTCCTGATTGCTGGGACACAATATCAGACACCCACAACTTAAAGCAAGAGAGGTTTATTACAGCTCACATTTCAGCCCATAGTTGGCGGGTGCTAAGGCAGGGCAATGATTAGAGAGACACAGAAAAGGAAAAGCTCCTCACGGCAAGGTGTAGAGGAAGAGAAAGGGATGGGAGGAGCGAGGATAAGTCCTTCCGGTCACGCCCCCTGTAACTTGCCTCTTCCAACCAGACTCCACTTCCTAATAGCAAATTATCTAGAAGCCCCCATAATCCAGTCACTTCCCAAAAGCCCAGAGTATGAGAGCATGAGATGGGCCTGTCTAGATATAAACCATAACAATGCGGGACTAACAGTAATAACTGAACCTATTAAGAAGCAGACAGATCTTTCTGGCTTAAAGAAGCAAGGCAGAGCTTTCACTTTCTAAAGTCTCAGCAGAACTCATGGGAGAGGTCACAGAGCACTAACTGGCATTTAAGATGTGTGACCTATTAGGAGCGAATTTTTTATTTGACTGTCAGTCACAGTTCATGGAAGCCTTTGGGTGCCCAGGGTGCTGAATGGGCATTGCTGCCACAGCTGGGCAAACCCCAGACATTCCTACTCTAATCTCCCATCACATGAGCCATTTTGTAGATGGTGGAATTCTTAGACTGACCCAATCTGGGTCTTTATCAGGTTGCTTCTCTTCAGCCTCACTTGGACAAAGCTCTTGGGAAAAAGTTGTGCTTATCTGACTCCAGCAGAGCTGTGAGTTCCTGTGTCAGCCCACTGAGAGTGGGCACTATTCTTAGCTGGGTTTGTTTGCCAAGTACTTAGCAAGAGCCCAGAGCTATTCTGGGAATGACACTGATTTGGGATGGGATAGGACTGGTATGCCCCTAGAAGAATGTCTGTTCCTCTGAGGAAGAGAGAATGGGGTAGGCTTCACTTCAGTTTAAAGTTTACTAACAGAAGTTCCTCCGCATGATCCACCCATCTTTGGGTTGATAGTGACAGATGAGGAGAGCTTCTACGCAGCATGGTTCTAACCACTGTATTATGTGGCTGAATTAATCACATCTTCCACTGATGAAAGACAAAGCCTTAGAGGAGAGTCACTGGCCACTTTCCCTCATGTGTCCCAAACAGCTCACCCTTATTTCTAGCACCCAATACTGGCATCAGTGGATGTCTACTCTAAAGATTCGTAGATAACATCATCGGAAAATGAGGATGAAATGTTTTAAAAAGCAAAAAAGCAAAAGCTTATGACAAGATAGTACATATTCAAACCATGCCATCCACTCCAGGAAGGGCGTGTCTGAGTTACTCTGGAGACCACCGGAAGTGCATGTCAATTCCCTTCACAAAAGCCCTTCCTGCATTTCATCGTCACCAAGGTTTCTCTTGTATTCCTCAACCCATGCAGCAACAATCTCAAGAAAGGTGTACTTTTTCTAAATGAGAGAAGATATGGAAAGATCTAAAAGCAAAAGAAGAAGGCCCAGAGGTACAGTGTTCTCCTGGAGTCAGTTTGTGTTTCTTTCCCAAGCTGGAGCTGATGTTGCTGCAGTAACTGAAAGCCAGAGGAACTCAGACCCCACTGTTCCTTAATCACCTTCATGGTGATTAAGCTGTCACCTTCATGGTGCTGTCACATGTCCAGCTCTCTCACCCCGGAACAGATAAGCCCCTGTCCTGGACAGCTGGATCCTCTTCCACTGTAGTCTTACGTGTCCCTTTCCTGGACTCTGCTCTCCAGGTTCAAGAGCACGAGCAAGCAGCAGGATGGGGATCATTTTCATCCCCTTGACTTCCACTAGGAGTGCAGGCTCTGAAACACAACTGCATGGGTTACAGCTCAGTGAAACATCAGTGTCCCAGAGGTGCCTGGAGACGTAGCCTTCAGCAAATGTGAGCTGTTAGCCCACCAGGCACTGAGCCTGTACCTGAACTTTATCACTAATGTTTCTTGGACCTACCAGAGTACCTGGCACATAGTAGGTGCTTTTTATCTCTGTTGAATAAATGAGCAAATCAATCAATGAATTGGATCTGCTTATTACAAGTATTGACGTTAAGATGACAAATACTATGCATACTAACAACAGTAGACACTTCGTGCTTGCTTTCTGACCTATAGCATTTATTCTTCAACAATACCAAACTAAATTTTAAGTATTTTTGTTGATGTAATTGTACACATTTATGGGTACAACGTGACATTTCAATACATGCGCACGATGTAGAATGATCGAAGTAACTGATATATCCATCAACTCGAACATTTGTAATTTCTTTGTTAGGAGTATTAAAAATTCTTTCTAATAGCTTTCTGAAATATACAGCTAATTGTTGCCAGCCATATTTACCCTATTCTGCTATAGAGCCTGAGAAATTATTTCTCCTATACAACTGCTCCCTGGTTGCCACTAACCATGCCCTGGAACTCCTTCTCTCTACCCCCAGCAGACTCCAGTGATCACACGCTACCTCTGTGAGATCAGCCTGTTAGCATCTGCTTCTGAGCAAAAACATGACAAGTTCCCCAGTTTCTCACGCTTCTAATGTCAGCTCTTTCATGTTCCTAAGCTCCAAGAAAACACAGAAGTTGGAAGATCAGCTCTAGCGAGTTGTTATGAGCCTCCTAACAATAATACTTAGGCCTAGGAATCTGTATGAATTTATAGGCAACAACACTGAAATAAACAGTGTGTGTGACCATTAGTAAAATATGAGTATTAATAAATAATATACTATAATTTACTATCTACATGATTTTTCATTGTATATTTTAAATTGTATTTGTATTGGTTCATGTGTGCAATACATAATGACCCATTCACTGGAAGGAGTTGGTACGCATCTGTAATGCATCTTATCTCTCTTTACATCTCTTACCTTTCCCCTTCAATAGTACAATTTAGACACCATTGTGCTGTACAGGCATTTAATAACCTCTCCCTGCACAATCAGTGTTACCTGACAATAATAAGAGAATGCTAAGCTTACATCAAGCTGCTGGTCGGTCACTTTTTACATTGTTTGGTTTGCTATATTTTGTACTGGGGCTCGAACTCACAACCTCATGAACTCATGACCTCAAGATCTCACACTTGCCAGGCAGGCACTGTACCACTGAGCTAAATCCCTGGTCCTTACATATTTGTTTAAATTATCTATAGCAGCAAGATAGCCTGTGAGGGAAATGCAAATTATGAAGGAATACAGTGTTTCTATATCTGCAAGTAAAATAAATATTCATACTTCAGATTTTCAGGTTTGTGGTCTATGTACACAAAGGGAAAAAGCAAAGATTTTTGGCAATTATTCTGTTATTTCAAAAGCAGGAAAGATATGTTGCTTTTTCCACAAGATATTCCACACAAAACTAACAGCTGTCATGTTTTATATGATCTGTAAATAGCCTGCTTTCTACTAAGAATCTGGTGATTCCCTATAATGATTAATCTCTACTCCATGAGAAAAATTAGTTTTAGTTAGAGTCCCTGGTCGATCACGTTTTGCATTTATTTTGAAATGAGTTACACTTTATTATGTTACTCATCTAAAATAGAAGGCATAGAACATGATGTGTTTAGAGAGAGGAAGGAAACATTTATTCACCCAAATAGGGTGTAATAAACACATATCCCTGGCTCGAAATGTAAGTGGATCCAAAAATGTTTCAGTCCACCCCTTGTTCTCTACCGCCCAGACCTTGAGAAACCCAACATCTGCTTGCAGGGAGGTGGTCCCCGCCTCCTCCGGTCCTGAATCAAATCCCAGCTGATGCAAAAGCAGTGCATCCTAAGTTTTCTCTGTGTGAGGGAGAAACAGATTGTGGGCGTTAATCTATCTTCTTAAAATGGAAATATTTTGAAAGTTTTGAAAAGAACCTTGGACTCCCAACAACAAAGAAATCCAGATTTAGGGGAAATAGTTTATAGGAAAATATTGGGTGTATCTACATTCTCTTCACAGATGACTGTAACCCATTAAGTAGTTTAATGGCTAAAACTTGTGAGCTGAATAGAACTGGAAACAAATTTAGTTTTTCTGACAAGTTGGAGATACCAAGAGAAAACTGACATCGATGAAAAACTAAAGATGAATCCCCTCTGGCAATCAGCCATGGGCTTTCTTTGGCTTCCTTTCCTTGTTTTCCATGAATTTGCTTCAGTGCACCTGTCCTGATCTACCTGGTCACGCTCTATCGGAATTGGAGCTCTCCATCTGGGTCAGCACGTCCTGGTTTCCCAGGACAAACGTGGATGACACCCAGAGACTTAGGAGGCCACGACCCCAAGGGCTGTGAGGAGCTTGGACAAGACAAGCCATACAGAAGGGAAATCTTTTCCTTTACCAAAAGCACATGCAGAAAACCTGGAGGAAAGAGCTCTGGTTCCGAGGTTGTAGTGGTGGGTCCAGCACATTTGTGCCTGTGCAGGGTACACTATGGAGGACATGTCCTGCTTTTTTCAACATTCAAACAAAGAAATGAGTCTATGTGGGGAGAACTTGCTAACTACAAAGGAACCATCTGGGACTAATTACGATAGCCAATCTCATTTAAAACCACTGTTTCATTTTGTGTTTTTGAATTTCTCTAACTAGTGAATTAAAGTTTCCCCCAGCCCTGCCATAACCCCATATATATTATAGGATAGACACATATGTGTGTATCCATATGCATACTTTTTCCAGAATTGTGTCGGGATTGCCATGATGCATGGCAGAGAGCTACAAAACTCTCCGGGATTACATTAACTTGGAAGTCATTTTTGAAGCCTTCTTCAACAGATAGCAGTCATAGTTCCGGAACAAACTGGCAGCTTACAATCCTGGTGCATTCCATCTGCCCCGCCACAAACGAGGTATATTCCAGTTTCCGGGGGCGTGTGTGCTGTTTGCATTCAGGACATATTGCAGACCCAGAAGGGAAACCCTGGCCTTCCACTCTCTTGGTAACCCCCATGGGGGCCATGAGGCCATGTAGAACTCATCTATCATCTCCATCTCCCCTAAGTGAGAGGTGAACTATGCAAAACACCACGTTTCAGTTGCAGGTTGCTGGCCGGAGGTCACTGCTCTGCAGGGATCTTTTCTGCAGCCGTATTTCTCACTCAGGTCTACTGTAAATCATCACTTTTGGAGACAATAGCTTTGAAGGGCTATAGAATTCTCTGAAATTTCTACTTCTTTTGTCAGTTACCAGCTAAAAGTTACATTTGGGAAGGTGTGGCATGGGCTTGGGTGGGTGGTTAATCTTACAGCACAAGGAAAGACAACCACTGTGAAAGAGTAGCTGGCTGCTTACTGCAGAATGGCTTCCTTCTCCTATAGATTGCTGAAGTCCGCGTGCCAAGGAAAAATAACACAATGACCATGAGATTTGTGAATAAGCCTTTTGAGTCCACTCCTCTTTCCTGCTGGCCATTTCCCTACTTGTGTCTGGCTGAGGGGACAGAGAGCGACTTAAGCACGCGTGGGTTCCTTGGCCAAAGACTTAGTGAAGGACAAGTTTCAACTTCATTTCTAAAATGAAATTTTAAAATATTATTGGTACCAGCTCAGTCTGTTCCCGATTACCACAGATACCATGAATTAACTGTAATTTTGCTTCCATTTGATTCCCTGTAGGGACAAAACCACACTTTTAATGCCAACACATGCACATTCTAGCATTACAGTAAACGTTTTCCTGACGCATTTACAGATTCATGAAAAAAGAGAGATAAACTGAAACATTTGGCGAAGATTTTACTTCACTGAGAATCGGCGATATTTCAGAAAGTGGTACAATGCAGAAATTCTAAATCTATTCTTTAAAGACCCTCAGGTTAGAGTTTGAATTACTAGAAAAGAAGAAAGAAATGCAAATTATTATTTTCACATATACAGTAAATTCAAAAAATTGTACTTCTTTCTAAAACCATATGGGACAGACTTTCTTTTCATCAGGAGTGGTTTTGCTTGTTGTGCCAAGAGCTAAAAAGATGTTTTTAATAACCAAAGGCCGTTTGTTATACAATCTGTCTGGATCTAGCTTTTGAGAGAGCTGAAGATCCCTTGGGTAGGAAACAGAGGGTAATGGATGAGTTTTCTGAGATGACAGAAAAGTTGTGTGGGGAAAAAAAACCATAAAGATGATAATCAGCACGATTAAAGACATTCCCCCTGGAATAATCTTTAACTCATGGTTAATCGGACTTGTTTTCGGTGTTCATTGAGGAACCACAGGAGGTTGCTGGGGACCTCCTTTTTGTAAATGCAATCACATTCTCTAAGAGGAGGAGTAGGAAGATGAATAGGGCAGTACCAACATGTCTCCTAGGTACCCAAGCTTTACCCATATTAGCAAGTCACCTGAGAGGACTCAGAGAACATGGCTATGCTTGAACATGATTTCAATGGAAGGTTTGAGGGGTTAGATCCAAAAAGCTCCCCCTTCAAATCTCATGTGTTTGGAAGGTGATTGGATCATGGGGATGCTATAGTTGTTGGTAGATCTGCCATTGGTCAGTTCAGTAGCCAGTGTTTAGGAAGTTGGCCCTGGTTGGTCATGGACCACCAGGCACATGACCTGGAAGGGTATGGTATCCTCTGGTCCTCAGTTCTTCCCTTCTCTCCCTCCCTCTCTCTCTCTCTGTTTCTTTCTCTCTCTCTCCCTCCTTCTCTCTCTCTCTCTGTTTCTCTCTCTCTCTCTCTCCCTCCCTCTCTCTCTCTCTGTCTCTCTCTCTCTCTCTCTCTGTCTCTCTCTCTCTCTCTCTCTCTCTCTCTCTCTCTCTCTCTCTCTCTCTGTCTGTCTCTCTCTCTCTCTCTGCTTCCTGGCCACCATGACGTGAGCAGCCTTCCTCCACCAAGCTTTCTTTTCCACCCGTAATTTCTGCCTTACAGCCAGGCAGCCACAAACTGAACCACTGGATCCAGTAAGCCAAATAAACCTTCCCTCCCTTAAAGTATAGGTGTTGTACAGTGACACTCAATTTGTTCCAAATTCCTGTTCAAACATTGAAAAGTTGAAGAAGTGAACATATTTTTCCTATAAGAAGTAATGGAAAACCAATTAATTGGATCTGAGGTGCAAGAATTACATCAATAAATTCATTTTTTCAGGACTTTAACAAACTTCACAATGATTTCTTTCTTTACCTCTATCATGGCTCTATTTTCCTCTGAACTTTACTGCTGGTATCACTAACTATGGAGTCATGGTTATGATATTTTATGCAACTAATATGCAGAAATGCACAGTGACGAAGGTTTTAATGCACTACACAAGCACTATGTGTGATCTGGGCCAGACTGGCACTCAGACTGAAGCTTCATCCCTTTCTGTCTGCAGCAAGATGCAACACACGACACCTCTCGGCCAACAGAGACTTTTCCAAGTCAGATTTTCAGTTCAACTGTTGAGCAAAGTTACAAACACCAAGCAGAATTTTTTGAACTTTGCTGTTTGAGTAGTAGAAAGTTCGAGCTTGGAGCTGCTCAATAAATGAGATATGATTGTATTTTGACCTCGTGACAGGTAAGTGACCAAAACAAAAGAGGAACTCAGAAAAAATGGGTTCTCACTGCTCACGATTTCAAGGCCAGCATCCTGCCTCTGTGACTAAGAGAAAAGAACACAAATTCCTCATTCTGAGGAATAAGAATGATCCAGAACGCACCAGCCATGCACCATGTACTGGACCCATGTTCCAAAAAGATAAGTCAAAAACTAGAACTATATCAAGATGAAGTTTTCAAGTTTCAATGATGAAATGAGAAAATTAAGGAAAGTGTGGTACATTTTCTTCATAAAGCTAAACATTATTTTAAGGACTGTCCTTTGGTGCAATATTAGAACTTGCCTGTTTCTGAAGTTAAAATACGCTTAACTGTATTAGACTGAACCACAAGAAATTGCCAGAATTCAACTTTTTCAACCTACAAAAGCAGCAATTCCCCAGGGTTCAACGTAACAGTAAATGATGATAGTTTTATATAGGAAGTTCCAGTGGCCTTGGATATCACAATAAAGAGCTGGCAACCTATGTAAGTACCTAAATTGGTTTTTGGAGAAGTTTTTAATTCATAAAATCCAGAGTAGTAACTATACTATGGATTGTCACTTGAGGGCATCTTAACTGGCAGCCTTCTAGATTTTGACTGCTATAAGACAAAGCCAAGTTAAATAAACAAGGAAGAGACACATAAATTAAAGATGTACATAGGACGTTAGGGACCCTGAGAAGTAGCAGTATAAGGAGGGGAGCAGGGTTCCTGAGTTTGGGGGCTTGGGGAGCAACAGAGAGATGTTGGGAACCACACTTGGCTAAGAACATCTTTCCAATGCCCTGCCGCAGCCTACAGCTCTAGGGAAAGGAACCTGCTTGCCACCTCCCAGTGGAAAGATGTAGAAGTTGATTTGCCACTAAACACCTACCTTAAAATTTTGTCAGTGACTTGATAGGAAATAGGCTCCATGGTGGCACTTGCCTGTAACCCCAGCACTGGAGAGGCTAAAGCAGGAGGATTGTTGTGAGTTCAAGACCAGCCTGAGCTACAAAGTGAGCTCAAGGCCAGCCTGAATTGCATAGTGAGACACTGCCTCAAAAAGACAAAAAAAAAAAAAAAATAGTATAGGTTCCAAAAGCTCAGGGTCATGGCTCCTGCCATCAATATACATTAAAAAGAACAATCCAGCTTCCTGGTCCGGACCAAAAAAAAAGCCTATCTGTGACAAGAAAAAGGGTGTACATGTGTGTGCATGTGCAATGCATGCATGTGCACATGTGTTGGGAACACAGGTCCAGGGCCTTGTGCATGAAGGCACGTGAAAGGATATTTTATTGGTCTTGTTGATCACTATTCAAGAATATCTCCTAGGACCACAGTGGACCAATTGGGTTCTCTGAGTTGGGAATTCAGACCTGCAGAAAGAGAGGTTTTTCAAGACCAACGCTGCCACTCAGCAATAAGCACGACAAGCCACTTGTAAGTGCAGAATGGAAGAGAAAAAATAAAGAAAATATGTAGAAGTGATGCGAGATCTTGTCCCACGGGGAAAGAGATGGAAAGCCAATGAAGAAGAGCAGCTGCCTTTGTTCCACTGCATCCCAGTCCCAAGCCCACTCACTGAAGAGCACACATCCCCCACGCCTTGGGATGCAGACTCTCGGGACCCTGAGAGAGCTGACCCACTCGCCCTTCCTTAAGTGAGGCTGGGATGAACCTAAGACTTCTGATCGAAAGATTCTTGCTAGTGATAAGGGATGCATTTAACAGAAGAAGTGGGATCCTAGCAAGGACTGGCTAAAGGTAACAGCAAGCTCGTGTCGGCCAGCCTCTCTCACCTTCAACACGCTGGCCCTTTGCAGTCACTGCTTTGGCAGCTGAGCCGCCTTCCAAGAAAAGAGTGAACATGTAGGCTCCGGATTGGTCCAGCAGCCCTTCTGCCTCAGTCTGCGAGCCAAAACACACCCGAGGCTGTGGAGAATCAAGCAGGGACCAAGTACACCCCACTCTCAAGGGAGGGACCACACAGCTAATTCACAGCAGATCCGGGCACAGGGAGAGGAATAACTGTGGCCATTCTACAATCCATGCCAGGTGGCCTCCCAGCCCCAGGGCAGGATCTGCCAACAAAAGAGACTTAGAAAAGTGGCTTAGTTTGTTTCCGATCCAAGACTCAGGGAAAAGAATTCTTCTCTTCCTATACTGCCTGAAATGCTTCTGACTACTGCAGGGTCCATACTGAATGCACATTTTAGAGATAATGGGTAGATAGATAGATAGATAGATAGATAGACAGACAGACAGATAACTGCCCTTCCCTAGATATAATAAGCAGAACAAGGAATGTAAAGTGAGGTCCTGTGAGGCTGGACATGAGGAGAGCATCTGGAAGTGCCAGGGGCAGGGAGGGACACAGCACAGAGCCATTGACGGGTCCTTCCTGGTGAATCGCAGCAAGGACTCTTGGGAGTCTGGCCAGAGCCTTGCCACCCATGCAGGAAACAGCCTGGGCTTGTCTGCTTGGCTTTACTAGAGGTGGAACAGTGACTTGTGGCCACCAAGGTGACGTGACTCCAGACACCCACGATGAAATAGGCTCTGCCTGACTCATCACATCCATAAATCTGCACATGCAGAGATAGCACCTTGTCACCAGATAAAAGTCATGCACAGAAAGCTGGCCGGAGCAGATCCAGTAAGGTGCACAGGAAAGTAGCCTAGATGCCCAAGCCGCTACCCCCAGGGTCTTTGAGCAGCTGACTACAGAAGAAAAAACACGCGCCTGGTTTACAGCCAGTCCTGCTTAATATAAGTAGGGTGACTTGAAATGAGATGACTATTAGCCATCCTTCCAGATGGCCTTTTAGACAATAGTAAAGGGAACTCTTCCCTACATATAGAACTTTGAATGATGTACCTGGATGCCCATTGCTGCTGAAAGGAATGTTAACCAGCTGTAAGGTCTATACTCTGCAGTATTTCTTGACTCTTTGCCTGAATAGTAAGAGACTTAGAAGAAGTTCAAGTGGAAGATCAGTTGTATAAATAACTGGAGAGAGATATTTAAACAAACTTCCCATACTGAGTACAGAATGTAAAAAATATCTGCAAGCCACATGAACGTTCACCAGAGCAAGACCTTAAGAGGAGAATATTTTGATAACAAGCAAGGGGATCTGTCCTGTGACTGTCAGTTAACTTCTTTCTCCTTCAAATTCCTCATTGACGAATGGGCTCAAATAAAATGGCTACGGTCACAGGGGTAGAGGGAGTGCACTGACTTACACTCATCACTGCTTACCTGTTCCAGAGCGGCTGAGTGCCCAATGGAACGTGTCCTACTGTAGAGAGGACCGGCCAGCTTCCATCATGGAAGAAGACACTTCGCTCCTATTGGATAAATATTTAACTGTAGATGTGGAGCTGTTGTCCTTGACTGCAATGTTTTTCTCAAATCAGTCCCTGGATTTAGAGAATGACTGGTCCACCATCATGGTATTTCACCGCAGTACTCCAGCCGAAGTGTGTGTTTCACAGCAAGTTCACTACAGCCAATGGACATAGGTTCACGAAATTGACGAATTTACCGTGGGAAGCATCTGGCTTGACAAAACAAGGCTCAGTCCTGATCTCGACTGTGTGACAGCGACTTTCAGAGCTGGAGCAGTACCCAGGATGTAGCATATACTCTAAATTAACAAGCACTATCATGGTGTTTCTCTCTTAACTGGTTTTCATGAATCTGGGAATTAAGGAGCAAAAATAAGTGTAAGCTTCCTCACTACTGAGGAGTCACTAAGATATTGCTTCCCTTGCCTGCAACACAAGACTCAAATGCATCAGATTTCTTACTTCTAAAATAACTCAGATGCTTCCACCAAGAGATAAATCATCAACTTCTTCCACTGGAAGTTGAGATGCTGCAGTACTCCTGGTCGGTATGAGAATGCCTTCTTCCTTGTGCTGTGAACATGTCTGTGTCTATATTAATCATTTTTTTCCTTTTTTCTCCCATTCTTTTGCCACCTAACATGAAATGCATTGTTAACCTATATCTCAGAGTAGAAGTTACATGATTTTGAGGAGACTAAGTAACCTAAAAATGAACATGACTAAAAACACAAAAGATCAATATGCTATTGTTGTACAGAGTTGGTATACATCATGTTAGGTATGACTTTGTTAATGTCATCATTTAAATACAGAGTCCACCAAGAAATGTATGCACAAGTCAGGAAAAGGAGAAATAGTTATGATCCTTTTAGCAGATGTTGTTAGTCTCATATTGTGGGACCCTGGAGGATGCTGTGTATCACAGAAAACCCACTATACTGTTGGCCCTTAGGGAAGAAACTGAACATGCATGCATGGACTTCTCAGTGACCAAGGTTACCCATGCAATGCTTTGTCACAGTAATAAATGTCTGGAAGTTAATGCGCACCATTTTGAACACTGCAATTGTAGAGGCTAAAATAACTTTATTAATCTCATGGCATCTCAGTAAAGTTAGTATTAAAATAGTTATACAAGTTTTTCTTTTCCTGAAGTGTGTATACAATTTTTGGTGGACTCTTTTTAGCTACAATGAAATGTGTGTGAGTGTTGAATTGATGAAAGACTTTGGTAGTTTCACACAGGAAGGCTGAATTATGTGTACTAGCCAGCTTTGCATGGCTGGACCAAAATACCCAAGGCACTTCTTTATAGGGAAATGATCTTTATCTTTGGCTCGCAGTGCTGAAGGTGCAAGGTCAGAAGGAATCACCTGGTAATGGCCTTGTTGTTTGAGTGCTAGGTGGTCTAGGGCATCATGGGACCAGAGGCAGGGAGTGTATGGATATGCATGTGCATTGCATGTGCATGTGTATTTGTACATGTGTGTGCTCACATGTATCTCCATCTCCTCCTAACCCCACAGGGACACATCCATGAAGGTTACCCCCTAGTGATCATGTCTTGATCACTTCCCAAAGGCCATATCTCTAACCATCATAGCCAGCTCAAGACCTTGCAAAGGAAACTAAATGTCAACATATACCTCAGGGGGGATACTCAAACTATATCTGAACCACAGTATTAGTCAGTTTTCTTGTCTCTGGCACTTGATTCCCAAAATTTAAAGGACTTAGAGGAGCCTAAAACTTTAACTAGACTTATAGTTTCAGGAGATTCAGTTCATGGTTGACTGACAGAAACATCCTAGTGAAAGGGGATGGCAAAGAAAAGCTGCATAGCTCATGGCTGCTGGGGAACAGAGCTAGAGGACAATGCCAGCGGAAAGGGGGCAAGGGATCGCATATGGCGCCCAAGACAATACCTTCACGACTCACTGAGACTCACAAAAATGTGGTTTATTAATCCCCTAGGTGGCTCCCCAGCAAATTAAGTTATACAATTAAGCTCAACCACCACCACCACTGAATTTCCCAGAATTCTCTTCCCTACTTCCCACTAAGGTGGACCATACTTAAGAGACTTATTTACATGGCCTTTAGAAGTTGGAAGTGAAGCAACCACTGCACTGGTTTTTAAATTTCTAAAGGTCAAGGCAACACCCAAGCCGACAGTTTCTCTGCCTTTCTCTGCAACCTCCTTCAGGGTCTCCACTTCCCTACCAGCTCCTCCTTGTGCATTTCAGCTTGTCCTGACCTGTATTTTATACCCATCTTCCCTTCTTAAACCCCTGCCCTCCACGTGTCGAACATGGAGACCACAGGCTTGCAGGGACTATCTAAACATGTAAGGTCAAATCTACAAAACAAAACATTAATACACGTGCATGCACACATACATAAATCTCCGTACACGTACCCATTTCCTGTGCCCCTGGAGCAGTCCCTAGTAGTGTGTGTCATGAGTGTATATTTTTCTAAAAGTTGAAAAATAAAAACATAACATACAATTTTTAAAAGTTGAAAAACAAGCTTTTTAAGGCATAGTCAACTTTCTCTATGTGGTTTTTCTTACTAAAGAAGCACATTTATCACTAGTTCATGTGTGGGATTTCACATCTTTTTCCCTAAAGAAGGCCTTCTAGCAGCGAACGCTTCAAAACCTGCCTCTGTCCCTGTGGAACTCTTCTTGTATTTGAGATAAGGTGGGAGTTGATTTCCCTGTTAACAAACAACCCGTTTGCAGCTGCAGGATGAAAAAGATGTAAACTACTGATGGGTGGAGAAGGTCAAGTTCCACGTTCTAACCACAAGACATTTAAACACGAAGTGAGCCCCAGCAGTGCTGTCCTGGTGCTAGTTCACACGGAGTAAGGAGGGCAGTGCACTGGAAACTCGGCTCAGCCTTGGAATACCTACATCCTCAACAAGAAGGGAGAGAGAACGGGGCCTGGGAGCTGGAGAAAGAAGCTGAGTGCTAACTATACTTCGCACATTTGTCAAAACTTCTCCAGGAAGATTTTCCTGGACACAGGACAGAGAGTGAGAAATATTAATAACACACGTAGGTCCTTAGCCCTCATTAGAATGATTCAGTGAGGCAGGATGGGAATGTGCCTTGCTTCTCCTTGCTTGAGGAGAAGAACTGGAAATGACTGAATAAATTTTTATGTTCAATGTTTCACATAAATGTGACAATAAATTTGTAAGTCTAGTGATCAATTTTACTCAAGATGATGCCTTTGCTGGAAAAAAACATGTTAGAAAACATTCATCACTGTAGCTGCACTGTAACATGTTAGGAAACACTTTGTCATTATTGGAAATAAATCTTAGCTCCTTAACCAAAAACTATAATAATGTGTGTTCTACAGAAAAATGTTTTGTAAAGAGCAAAAAATTCTTCACCTTTCTAAGGTTTTCTGTGATAGCTTCTACATGAAAGAGCTAATACAGATCTTTCATAGCCTAAAGTTATAGACTTTTAAGCACCTTTTATGGTTTTTTAACATTGTAAAATCATGTTCATTTTACATAGTAACAGAACATGGCTAGATGGATGGGCAAGTGAGTAGATGGATGAGTAGTTGGATGAACAGATGGACAGATGGATGGACAGGTGGGTGATTTATGGATGAGAAAAGGAAATACTAATTAATAGATGAAAAGCTGCTGTTTTAGACATGGCTTCAGTTTGAGTTGGGTGACTTTAAAAAGTTTCTATGTAGATATGCTTTCCTCTATGAGAATAATAGTGTATTTCGAGCAATTGGCCATGAAAAATGAGATCCTTAGGTCCAACCTCCATAAAAAGAGTTCTAACAAAGAATGAAGTTTCAAATCCCACTGTGGGCTTGGAAGAGAAGGTTTGTAGATCCATGATATTAGAGAGATAAAGAATTTGGAGGAACAAAACAGGACAGCCCCCAAGATGGTAAAAATTCAAGACCAAAAGAAAAACATGTAATGGGGAAAAGGCATCAGGTTCCCATGACCAGAGAATGTGGAAGCACCTCCTGCCCAAGCTGTGTTATCTTGTCCCCCGACTTTCTCGTGATGCCCCTGCCCACACCAGGCAGCAGCTGCAGACCCTGAGAGCAACAGGAGGAGATGAGGACCGAGCAGTGACTGAAACCCAAGAGCATCAGGAGATCAGACCTAGAAGGAACAAGAATGCAAGTCATCCTGCCTCCCTCCCCCCTGCCTGCTGGATGCCCAGCATACGGGGAGTAGACTCATTCCTCTCACTATAGGGACACAAATCACTTTGCTGGGAAAGAAAATCACAGGTTCATTCCTTAAGGCCAATTTGGCGACATCTGAGTAGCCAGTCCCAGAGTTCCATGTCCTGCAAAAGTGTAAACTATTGTAACTACTAACTATGACTGCTTGTATTTGTCCTACTTTTCCTTAACAAAAATAAATATCAGAAGACCCAAACTACCTTGAAATTTGTGTACCGAACCAGAGTTTTTACTCTGGTACCATCTGGTCCTTAGAAGTGCTGATCCAGGAGGTAAAAGCTGTGAGTTCTACCACATAGACAGAGATCTGAAAGAAGGGCAGGTGGTTGCAAAGTGTCGCATGAGAAGGAAGATCACTTTATCCATTTCATTGTCTTTCTGATCTCTGAGACGTGAGGCCTGGACGGATGTAGGAGGGACAGCTGTTCATACTCTACCCTAAGGGTGGGACCTCTATATTTTCACTGAGCAAAGTGGCTCCTTCCTTTTCCACTGTCACTGCAGGAATGGAATCGTGTAACACCAAGGTTTAGCTCCAGCGACTTTCTCCTCTCTTGGTGGGGGGGTTACTTTTTTAACCTTTCCTTGGCTCCTTCCCTCTGGCACTGGAGCTCCAAAACTGCAAAAAGCACTCAGCTTGGTGGGGTGTCCATGCAGTGTGGCAGCAGTGATGTTTAATACTTTGTACTTAAATCAGAGATTATGCCCATAATATCACTGCCACATTTGGACATTAATATGCTCATAATGTCCATTTAGCTCAGAAACCTCAATATGCTAGCTGGGGATTGTCTGGAGCCTGGTGTTTATCACTGCTTCCTGTGAATGTTCCTGTAGTAGTCATTGCGAAGTAAGAGAGGACTACAGAGCCCCGAGGAATGGAACAAAGGTTGTGCAGTACAGGGGTGCACTGTACACGAGCCATTTCTTTATAACACCGCAGCTGGGAAAACAGGAGCAAACAAAAAATCCAGTAGCCATGTTCCCTTAGAACATGCTCAACTTTCATATTATTAAACCCTTTCAAAAAAAACTGTACCATTTGTAGATATAAAACCAGCAAAGGATGACATAAGGTTTAATTTGTCTGAGCCTTTGTATAAACTTCTGTCCTGACAGGAAGTAGGCAACACCCTAAGGTCAGGTCACACTCAACAGCTCTGTCTATTTAAAATGATAAACCTTGGATTGGGGATATAGCTCAGTGCCTGCCTAGCAAGCGCAAGGTCCTGAGTTCAATTCCTGGTGCTGGAAAACACAAACAAATAAATAAAATGATACACCTCACCCCTCAGCCAGCACCTCCAGAATCCATCCCCCTACAGTCACAGCAAAACCATTCCTGCCATTATAGTCTCCCAGACTTCACCTTGCACCGGGCCACCCCAGAACATGACTCCAGCCACCCAAAGCCCACGAGGGCAAGGGCATGCCTGCCAGGTGGCTGTGTCTCCTGAGGTTGCCACAGTGGCTTCAAGCAAGGCAGGAGCAGCGTCACTTGAAGGGGGCTGCCTCTGCTAACAAGAAAGGCAGCGTGGAGTCTGAGAACCCAGTATTCCTCAAGTTGTCTCAGCCTCTCCAACAGCTCCCGTTCCTCTCCCCAAGCTCTCTGTCCTGTCCTCCAGGTCACATAAGAAGTTGGACGAGGTGTGAATTTCACCAACAGTGCAGGTCAGCATACTTCAAGGCCAGACCTGGGATTGATTTTTAACTCAGTCAGCCCTTTGACAGGAGGTAAGGAGCCCCATTTAGATCAGCCAGAGAAAGTCCCCTGATATTTGAACATGAATTTAAAATCTTGTTATTTCCTTTTTGTAAACCATCCAGTGCAGTCAGGAAGACAAGCTTAGCCTACGGTGGCTCACTCATGCCTAAGAAAACCCCATCTATCTATCTATCTATCTATCTATCTATCTATCTATCTATGCATTCATCTGTCTATCTATCCACCCTAGTTTGTCTGACACCACTCACATCTATGATCTTGGAATCTGGAAGGTGTTCCCTTTTAGTTTCAAAAGTATACTAGTGTAAAAACTAGACTGCACTTACCTTTCATGTGCCTTGCCTATCAAACATACACTGACACCTTCCATTTGCACCAGACTTCCACATGGACACCCTAAGCAACAGCAGTGAAAATCTAGTCCTACTACTGAATAGTATGGGCCATGGGTGGACCATTGGGGAGACCAATACCAGAGAATGTCCACCTGTCTGAAGGCAAAAAGGATCAGCCACCAACCCTGGGTTCCCACTGCTTAGGTCTGGTGCCTGCAGTCATCTTGGCACTAACATCTATATATCACAGACCCTTAGGTGCAGACTACAGCATTCTCAGATGTAAAAACATAGAGACAATTTCTATAAAATATTATGAACTTAAAGAATCCTAGGGGAGTTGAAACCAAAACTACATTCACAGCCAACACCGATACAGCAAAAGAAATGTTCAGCATAAGACAGCTCTATCATACACACTGTTGTCCGTGTCACCCACCTTCTATCTAAGGAAGAGCGTGTCCCCAAGGTCACACAGAGTCCGTCTCTCCATGGTGACCCCTTTACATGCTCCAGCCTGCACCCTGGGCTTTGCACCAGGCTGCCCTCTGCACAGAGCCCCAGGAGGGAGAAGAGCTCTGGGCTGGGGCAGGGGTCAGAGAGCAAGGGTGGCTGAGGCTCTCACTCCTACTACACAGGGCGACCACGCTGCTTCTGAAGCTCAGGGGATGATAAGGAGCCCCCTCACCAGGTGCTCTATCAAGCTGACAGGGGTCAGCCTCACAGCTCCATGACAGGAGAGAAGGCTACTTCCTAAGAAAAATTGGAACACAATTTCTGGTCACAGGCAGAGTACATAACAAAACAGACCCCATTCTGAACCTGCGGATCCCCCTGGGTTTATTGTTTCTGTACTTGTCACGTCCACACTTGGCTAGACCAGGCGGACCAGGACGCTTTCCTGTGTCTACACTTCACCCCCTCCCCGTCCTGTTCCCTCTGCCTCACTAATGAGAACTACTACTCCTCACGCCAAGACAAGATCCCTGCAGACCTTCTCACTAACCACAGAAATCTAACTCAGCCAGGGGAAGCTTTGCGCCCAGTCCCCATTGCCTTTTCCATGCAGTCTGTTTGAATCAGGTCACCCTCAAGACCAGGAGCACCAGGGCAGACGCAGGAGGGCAGGCGCAGCTGTCAGACGTGGACCCTGCAGATCTGCTGGCCCTGTAGCTCGTAGCTCTCTGCGCCTTGGCTCCCGAGCAGCTCCTTCTCCTCGGTGCCCCTGCAAGCCCGAGACTGGCGAAAGTGGACAGGCGAGGCAGCGATGCACTCATAGTGCCGGTCCAGGTAGCGCAGGTAGAAGAGCATGTGCAGGGCGTAGGCTAGCACCAGCAGCAGGACGAGGGACATGGCCAGGCCGATGAGGATGGCCAGCGAAAAGGAGGTGGCGCAGTCTCTGGCCTTGGCGAACTGACCACCCCGGATGGCAAAGCCCTGGAGCTGTGGAGAGAAAGAGAAGTTTGGGGTGACCCCGCCCTCTCTTTGGAGCGCTACCTCCCCAGAGGCCCAGAACCTTGATTTTGCATCAGGACTGACCCCTTTGCTGTGCTAAGTGGCTGGTGAAATCCAAGGCTCTGAAATAAGAGCCCTTTAATCTGGTCCCCAGCAGTGGTTGGCAGCGAACCCTAACTACTGTGGTGTCCCCAAGTTCATGGCAAGCCCTGACTGCTGCAAGGCTTTGCACCTCACTCAGGGCCTCCCACTCCCCAAACAGGAAGTGGACAGGGACAGCTGTATAAAGGAAGCGGTCACAATTCCCAGCCAGGCGAGGAAACACAAAAGCTCACCCTTCCTAAAGCCTGTTCAGTGCAGACGCTGCCTGTGCCCACTTAGCTCTCTCAGGAGCCCAAGGGGACTCTTACTCTATGCAGAGGAAACTGAGGCACAGGAGACGTAAGTGACCAGCCTGGTGTTACAGGACAGGATGCCAGGACATGCCACGAAGGTGCCATTCAACCCCAGGCTTTCTGGCTATGCACTCACTCGGGGTGCCACTCTGCAGCTCTGCCAATACCTGTCCCTTCCTCCTGTCACCTCCCTCTCTCTTTCCTCGGGTGGTCCTCTCTTCTCTGCAAAGGACAGGTCCCAAGACCTCCCCTGGATGCCTGAAACCACAGAGTGTATCAAACTCTCCCTGTAAGTGTAGTTAGAAATAGCTCGAAATCTGTACCCACACTTCTCTTGTGTACTCCCTAAATAACAATCGAACAGTGACTATTTCCACGGCATTTTCACTGCCTTATGCATCATGAGGAGCCTAGAGCCAGAGCAGTATTGGACTATGAAGAGGAGAACCTGGAGTCCTATGTAGGAAACTAGCTGTGTACCCTGAGTGAAATGGATCAGACACCCAAGCTTCAATATTGCGGGGCTTCTCTCGTATGAGCAACTGAAAGCATAAAGATAATCTAAGTGAACAATTGATAATAGGGAGCAGGGAGATAGAACTTTCACAAATGGGAAGGGGTGAAAGAATTAAGATGGGTTCTGTTTGTGGACTGAACCCCTGAGGGATGTGATCATTCTGTGCCACAAGCATGAGCCAATGGCAGTCTAGGAAAAGCTTGCAGGGGAAGAGGTCCTGGGCCATCTTACCCATGGGACTTGGGCATCCAAGATTCTGGTACGGGATCAACTCCAAGGAGATGACAGAAGGGACTATTTTCCTATATGGATTCATAAATTAGGCAAGTGTTGCCCGGGCATGGTGGCTCATGCCTGTAATCCTTGCACCGGGGAGGCTGTGGCAGGAGGATCGCTGCAAAGTTTGAGGCCAGCCTGGGCTACAAAGTGAGCTCAAGGCCAGCCTGGACTGCACTGCAAGACCCTGTCTCTAAATAAATAAGACCAGTTCAACTGGAGGGGTTCCCAGTGTGGCAGCCCCGCACCCTCCCAGTCTTGCAGCCCTGGCTACCTGCAGGCCCAGCAGGGTGAGCCCCCAGCTGGCGTGGCCGGGCTGGGGCGGCAGCAGCGGCAGCAGCGCGTCCCCTTCCCAGTCCGGGTCCCGGTCCCTGCGCAGGCTGCTCACGCGGCTGCAGCGGAAGGAGAGGCCGGGCGGCGCGCCCACGCCCGGGGCCGCGAAGGCGGCCTGCGCCGAGCCGTTGAGCAGGACCTCGACCTGGTGCAGCCGGAACCCGCGCGGCCCGGCGCCCTCACCATCGCTGACGCTGGCGAGGACAAACCTGGAAACCAAGGGCGCCAGTCAGCAGCGCCTCCGGGCGGCGCGGGGCGCCCTCTGCCGGGGGCGGCGGGGCAGATTCCTGCGGCCCCGTAGGGGACCGGACCTGACCCACAGGGCGGGCAAGAGGGGAGTGGGCCAAGTGGCCGAGAGCGGGGCGGACCCCACGCGAGGAAGCGAACCCGCGCGGCTCTTGGCTAGGTGGTGATGAAGGCAAGAAAACTGGGAAACGCCGGGCCTGGGGGTGCACGCCTGTAATCCCCACACTCGGGAGAAGACTGAGGCAGGAGGATCGTTGCCCGTTCGAGACTAGCTTTGGCTGCAAAATGAGCTCAAAGCCAACCTGAACTTCACAGCAAGACCCTGTCTCAAAAAGACCAAAAAAAAAAAAAAAAAAAAAAAAAAAAAGAAAGAAAGAAAGAAAGACACGAATTAACATCAGCAGAGTAAAAGCAAGGTTTCAGTCACAGGGAGCTCTCCGTCGTGTGTCCGTGACCCTCCCATGCAAGGCACACAGGCATGCACAGGCGTGATTGCGATGCGCAGGCCTTGCTCCAGTTCCTGGAGCCCGATCACCACGAGGACGCGTGGTGACGCAGTGGGCAGCACTGTAAGTATATTCAGGGGCTGGAGATGGCAGTGTGTCTTTTGCACTAATAAATTCAAGCACTTACGTTCACCACACCTCCACGTGCACTGCACACTCAGCTTCCACGCTGAGGCGGGGCTGCAGTCAGGTGCAAACATGGGCCCCTCGCAATGAAGCTGGACTTCTGCCTCGTGCGAGGCCAGCACCCGCTGTCTCACTGTTTCAGGGAGGAAATTCCCGAGCCACGAAACAGCGGCAATATACACAACCTCGTGATCTTTTTATTTTTAATTAAAATATAATGAGTGACTGCCGAGAAAAGTCCGGAAGCCTCCATGGCGATTATGGCGACTAGCGGATCACCGGCCACTTTCTCTTCTCTTGGTAACGTTTCCTGATTTTTCTGTTTTCAGTGGCTTTTCCTGTCTTGTTTGGGACCTTTCAGAAACAGACCCTGAGATGAGGATGGGAATGCAAGCAGGATAGGGGGATGCGGGCCCTGAGAAGACCAGGCATGGAGAACAGGAAATGCTACCACCAGAGAAGGAAGCAGCCAGCAAAGAACACCGTAGCAAATATCCACCAGGAGCAGAGGGGCTTCGTGCTCTGGGGCCATGAGGAGCCAGGCTGAGTTGTGTCCTCAAGAGAAGAGCTGAGTCTGGAGTCATTTCCTGACTTGGGGCGCTAGGCACTGGCCCCTGCGGCCAGAGGAAGCTTTAGGCGGAGACCGCAGCTGGGAGCTGAGAGAGGAGGCCTCCTACTCTTCAGTGGGAAGGCCGGGCTAGATCTATACAAGGTGCTATGAAAAATATAGTAATAGTAATGCTCTTTTCCATCTGGAAAATCGCATGGTTTCAGGTCAAAAATATTCTCCATTTCTGCATCTTTTATAGAAAAGAAACTCGGATAATTGATTTGTCTAGCTTTCAAAGCTAAAACCAATACTGAACCAACTCCTAATCCTTGTCAGATTAAATCACCGCCTTTATGGGTGACTGTATCTCAGGACACTCTGGAAAAGGTCCGCATTTGCCTATCAGAGATGTATATGTGCTTGCTTGGTCACCTAGTGGGTGACCATCCAGGGCTCCCTACAGCATCGCTCTGAAATGAATGCAAGTGTGTGCTAAATGATGACCAGGGGCACATGTGTCCCATGACACAGAGGTGAGTGCCCTGAAGAAGAAGCCTTCCCGAGGTCCAGCACTGGCCACAGGAGGTAAATCAAGGCCACCAGTGCAGCAGGCTGCCTAGGCATGAGACTCAGACACCAGAATACACGGATTTACACCACGGTGCATACACAGAGCAAGGTGTGACTTGCAGTAATTTCCAGACAGCTTTTCTTCTATAGAAATCTTCTCTGAGCCTCATTTCTGCTTTCCTCTTTGTTCAGAGAAGAAGATGACTGTATCCTCAGGTTCCTGTGTGCTATGGTCCCTGCTGCAGAGGGGTGGGGGAGAGGTATCCCCTGGTGCTAGAGAAAGCAGACTGAGGGTCCATCACACACGGCCCCTGAGAGTGCATTTCGCCTGTCACAGTGCTTGGCACAGACCAAGCCCTGGATACTCATGTGTCAGTGATCACATTAACTGAGCTAATCAAAGTGCTAAAACCCACAGTTCTATATCCTACCTACCTCACAGCAAGGGCTTCGGGATTTTCAGTATCACCAAACTTCAGATAAAGCCTAGAAAAAGAGAAACACCACTCATCAAAAACAGGAGACCCCTACCAACATGAAGGACCTCAGGACAGGTCACAATCTAAACATTAACACCTAAGGGCAAAAGGTGCAGACGAACATTTATGCAATCTAAGGGTAAGCAGTTTTATTGGCAAATACAATAGCATGAGCTATAAAACGAAAACTGCTAAATTGGACTTTATTAAACATTTGTTTGACCTTCCAATGATAATGTTAGGAAAATGATACAGGCAAGACACAGAATGAGAGAAGATATTCGCAGTACAGACACACAAAAGGACTTTATCCAAAATATAATAAACTCAACAATTCACTAAGAAGAAAACCCAACTTAATATCAGAAGACTTGGATGGGTACAGCCAGTAAATGAGCGTGGAGGTGGTGCCTGCCTTAAATCCCTGCACGTGGGAGACCGAGGTAGGAGGATTATCATGAGCTGTGGCCAGCTGGGCTACATAGGGAGACCATGTCTCAAAAACCAAAAGTACAAAGCAAATAAGTACATAAAAAGATGTTCACCATTATTCACTATCAAGAAAATATACAATAAAACCATGATATGCTATCATAGTACAGCGAAAAGAATGATTAATTTTTAAAAAGGAATGATAAGCTTTTAATTCATAATCCCATTTTCCTGGAATAAAGGTTCCTAAGCAGAGACAGGACTGCTACTGTCTCACGGGAGTAAAAGGACTGGTTCCCAGAAAGCTGGTTTGCCCCTGGGTGGCCCAGTAAAAAGCAGCCATCAGCCTACAGGGGAGGAGGATTTTCACAGGGTGAGGAATACCGCAACTGTGGGTCTAGGTCACACCGGGGAGACAGACCGTGGTCCCACTCACTCCGGAGAGAGGCAGAGAAACACTTGTTCCCAGTCCATCCTCCGTGGGAAGAGAGGAGAGAAGGGTGCGTTTGCCTGCCTGATCGCTGTAAGTCGAACAAAATTACCCATCGGATGACAGTAAATAGTTCATGACAAAGGAGAGGAGCAGCTGCAGGTCTAATAACTGGGGTGCATAAATAAAGGTGACTGAGACACAGATAAAACGTGTCTCCTCCAGTTTCCTGCTCCTAGATGTCTCTCCGGTCCTCAGTTTCCCAATCCTTGATCCAGAAATGCATTACTCTCAAGAGGCAAATCTCCTACTAACTTCAAGGCGAATCTTTTAACCTAGCTCTCAGTGAAATTTGCTCAGCAATGGTCAATCACACAAAAACTTAAAAATCTTTTGCCTGGAGTCTTATTGACTGTACACAATGTTTGCAAACTTATTTTGATTAGTCCATGTTTGTGGTCCATAATGATTATTCACTGGGCAGAACTGGCATATGTACATAGCACATTTCAATTCTATGTCCCCTCTTCCTCCCCTCCATCTCTCGGTTCTCTTCTCTTCTGCAAAAGTTCTGTCTCCCTGTTTCCCCTCATCCATCTTTCATGCAGCTTTTTATTTTATTTAGGCTCTAGGTTTCTCATGTCAGAGAAACCATGTGCTATGCATCTGATTTATTTCACTACTATGGCCTCAAAGTGCATCCGTTTTCCTACAAGTGATTCACAGTACTGATGATACACACTATTGATGATGACGGAGAGCAATGCAATTCTCCTACAATGGTAATGGAAAGGGAAAATAGCGCAATGACTTATAGAAACAATTTGGCAAATTCTCTTCCCCTGATACAGCGCCATTCATGACTGCATGAGAAGAGAACAATAAGTCAATGAGAAGCAAGCCCTCCCTGCGAATCAGCGCCATGCTGTGGGCCACTGTGGGGAGAGCCAAGATGCCTACTCCTTCTGGCACATGGACAGGGAACAAAAAGAACCAAACTCCAGCCCCCACCACCATAAGCTACTGGCCAATCCAGAGAAACACAGGCTGTGATGATAGCTATTGAGGTGGAAAACAATTTAATCTTTGTAGTGTTTAGTGTTTCACTGACTTTGCAGGTCTAAAGCCAGTGGTCTGATATCTATTCAGAGGATGGCAATGTGCAGTCTAGCATCTATGGGAGATCTCCTTCTGAGGGTGGTGGTCATTGTCAGTTCCTTATTGTCTTGAAGTCCTGCATCATTTTCATTGTTTTGCTGGAGTGGGGTTTGTGCTGTTTTGTTTTGTTTGATTTTATTATATCCAATGGCATGGGCAGCTATTTTAAAGATAGTAAGATATATTATGGTGATTGTCTTAGTTACTTTTTACTCATCGCTGACACAAAATACCTGAAGCCCAAAGCTTGGAAAGGAAAAGTTTATTTCTTATAGTTTTTAGAGGTTTTAGTCCACACTTAGTTAGCTCCAAGGCAAGTGGGCATGGCTGGGCTGCCTTCCATGGTGGCTGCAAACAGCAAACTCCAACCAGCAAAGAGCAAAAAACACACCTTCTTCCTGCCATTACATCACATCCTGGTTCCACCCCTTTGTGGGTGGAGCACTGACACCATCAATCCAAGCACTGACAATGAACAAATAACAAATGCACAATGCAAACTCATGAGGCCTGGGGGATAGAGACATAAACCATGACAGTAAGCATTTTGGATTTACTCTTATCTTTGAAGTCCTTTATTGCATTCATTGTTTTGTTTTTATTCCTTCTATTCTGTCCTGTTTTGTTTGATTTTTACTATGTTTGATAGTATGGGCAGCTATTTTGAAGACAGCAGGAGACATTATGGTGGTCATTGCTGATTTTCTATTATCTTATTTTGAAGTCCTGTGTCATTTACACTGGTTTGTTTGCTTGGCTTTGTTCTGTTTTATTTTGCTCAGTTTTATTCTCTTTAAAATAAAAAAAATTGGCAATTTATTAAGTTAAATATACTCACATATATTTTTCTATTCCTAGACAAAATGACACCTCAGGGAAATAAAAATGTATGATTCCACAAAAACTTGTGTACAAATATTAATAGCAACTTTACTTGGTAAGTTAGAGTAAAAGCTGAGGAAAACCCAAGTTTCCATCATGAAATGAAATACTTCTAAGCAATGGAAAGGAATGTACTACTGCTACATAGAGCAATATAGAATAGCAAATGATCTTGCTAAGTGATAGCAGCCAGAGTAAAACAAGTGTACACTATATGATTATGTTTATATAAAATTCTAGAAAATGAAAACTCCTCTCAAGTTATAAAAGATCAATGGTTTTCTGGAGAGATGGTAATAGCCAGACAGTTTACAAAGGAAATTAAAATTTGGGGAATGATGAAAATGTTACTGCCTCAATTTTGGTGATAGTTTTATGCACATATATATGTAAGAAAACTGATCAAGTGGTATGCTATAAATATGTGCAGTTTATTGAACTTCAGCTTCTTTAGAGAAGATTTTATGGCAAATAAGTAGAAAACGATTTTTTTGCTAATAAGTAGAAAAATACTTCTGGTTTTTTCTTAAGGGGAATCCTAAAAGTGGCATTTCCCTTTTGTACTTCATTTCTATGTCAATGCAATTTAAAACATAAAAATAGTATAAGAAGTGAAATAAATATTAGGAAAATATGAGAAATTTAAATATAAGAAGGATACAGCAATATAAAGTCTAAAAGTTGTAATACCTCACTATACATTATAAAACAAAAAAGCAAATATTTACAAAAGATTTAATTAAACCTTTAAAAATACCACACATATGCAATCTCATTAATTTTATCTCCCTTAAAATAGAAATATCAGTGATCAGGCTGAAGTTCATCTTGCTATTTATGGGACAATCTGGTGCCATTTATAAAATAAATCATATAAACAGAACTGAGAAGAGAGACATTTTTATTTCTTAATATCATCAACTTATGTGTACTCATTTGCAACACCCCATAAGGTTATTCACTCAGTAAAGCAAGCTCTCAGGAGGTCATTTCCCTAACAGAATTTTCACAGTCTGCTCCAAATTACTGAAAATAACTTTAAAAAAATCAAATGCATTTCTTGAGCAGTATCATCTAGATTAGATTAGTCACTTGTCTAACAAAAACTTCTCTAGTTTTCCCAAGGGAACAGGATAGCTTGCTCACCACATACTGGTTCAACCACTAATGAACTAACCCTCAGGGCTAAGTTATCTTGAGCCGCCTAACTCTGTCCCCAATCTCTGTCCCCAAGCTCTGACCCATCTCAGGCAGAAGCAGCATGACAACTCCTAAGCTATGGACTTTTCTCCAACAGCCCTGGTTTCAGTGGAAGCCGACCAACACACTGTGCCTTGGGGCAAGAACAGGAGACCTGATGCCATCGAAGCAAAGCAAAGTTCGTGCAGTGAGGGTCCTGGAAGTGTCAGGCAGTGTATAGCACTGACTAAGATTGTGAAACTATGGTGGTTATTTTTTTGTATTACAAAGAAACACACATTGCCATCAATCCCACTTAGAATCCTCCCCTTTCTTTGAATACACTTATCCCCCAGTTTGCCCCTTTCTGCAGCCACTCTGGAGTGCTCTTTCCTGAGTGTCTTTAGCTGTGCTGTCTGGGCTGCCTCAAAATTGATTTAAAATATTTACACTTCATAGTCATGTTTGACGCTGGAGAAGAGCCAGAAATTGCACGGTGCAGATCTGTGAGCAGGGTGGATGAAGACACTGTCGTCTTTTTCTTCAAGCCTGCCTTTCCACTGATGGCACTCAGCAGCTGCACGCCTCTCTGCTCTTCATCCCACCTTGTGAAGACACCCAGGAAAGAGGACTTTCAGAACTGCTACAGAAAGGAGCCAGAACAATGGGACAAGCACCTTTAAAGCAAGGGGGAGGATGATGAAGGAGATTCATGACAAAGCATCTTTTACTGTAATAAATTTTTATGTAAACATTCACTGTGTGTTTTGATCACACCTTGCATAATGTTGCAGAGTAATAGTTGGAGGAAAAGGAGCTTTTTTAAAATTTTACTCTTTCTGGTGTCCCACTTTTATAGACTTAAAACAGATTGTGAATTCTTCAGACTATAATTGTCTAAATCCAAAATATACACAGATGCCGGG